ATTAGTATGATTTATATTTCTAATTTTGTTGTATGGAGTAAATACACATTAGATACATAGTAAATATGCATCAAATATGTTGAATATATGATCAAATACTTAGAAAATATTCACTAAATATGCAGTAAAAATGCACGAGATACGCAACAATTATGTCATACACTGCAAATACATAAAAAATATGCATCAAATATGCAATAAAAATATAGTAAATACGCAACATATATGCAATAAATATGCCAAATATACAAACAAATACGTAGAAAATATGCATCAAATACACAATGAAAACACAGGAGATACTCAACAAATATGTAGAATATACTAATCAAATACGCATGAAATACCTCATAAATGGAATTAAGGAAATAGTAAATGCATAGAAAATACATAGTTATTTAATAATCAATCGTTATAAGTAAATTTAATTACAATGAATATTTTACTTTAACAATTAATCATCATAAATAAATTTAATACATTTTTTAATCTAAAGCAATGATATCCATCATGATTATTATGTACTTAGATGATGGCTGACTGGAGGCTGCGCCGATTATGAATTCTTTTGTGAAGCATGATGACATGTTTGAGAAATTAAACTGGTTTGTATGTGAAGACATTTGTGTTGTGTTTTCTTTCATGGGAGGTTTTCCTTAAAAAAAAAGTAATCTAAAAAAAAGTTCCATTATATCATAATATATAATGAAAAGCAATTAGTCATGAAATTAAATCATACTCTTTGGCTTCTTCTTCTTTTCCCAATGACTTTTTAGCCTTGCATTCGAGATGCCGTTAAGCCTATGCTTTAGTTGATCTTTCACTTTTGTAATGCCACCATGTGTAAACTTGTGATAGTTTCTCTTCCCAAAAAGAATCAAATTGATATTTTCAAACATGTCCTTCATCGCAACCAACATATATTATTTAGCCTCCTCATTCCCTACATTAATGTGCTAATTTGATATGCAAACCAACTAACATGATTTTTGAATATGAATCAACTATTAGATTTAGAATTATTTTTTAAAGATCCTACGAACATGCGGCCTGAATATATATCTTTTCGAGCTCTTACTGACAATCATAGTAGTCAGTACTTCATAGGAATTTTCACAATATTCATCTTCCTAAAAAATCTCATTCAGTGCAAACACAAAAATTAATTGTCTCAAACTTCTTAAATATGTATTGAATACTTCCCTCTTGTGCACCAAAATTAATAACCCAAGGATTAGATTGACCCTTATTCTCTGTGTAACAAAAAAAAAAAAAAATTAAAGAATCACATGACACAGACTCTATACTCATTCCACCCACATTTTATAAATCTTAAAAAAATGAATATAATTTTCTTAAGTAAGATTGAGCAGCTTGCTTTAATACTTGACTGCTTTTATTACAGGTGCTATTTCGAACTGACTACATTTATAATCCTTATCTTATTCATTGTAGTGCTAAGTTGTCATCACATTCTCTAAACTAAGAAAACAATCAGTTATAGAACTTATGGGTTTTGAAATGCCATGAAACACATTATTAGTAGACTCGCTACGCTGTGTGGATAGAATGTTCATGCTAAATTAATCCTTATTAAATGTTGTTGACCACTTATTTCTCATCTTATAAAGAACCTCCAACCAACAATGATCGTGGATGTTCCCTTATGTGATCATTTCAACTCATATTTTCTCAAACTCCTCAAAGTCACACTTGCTCAAACACTTATAGAAGAGACATCTGACTTTCTTATTATTATTGAAGTACCACACTTTTGATGGAATATTTTTATAGATATGTTATTGGCAAATTTATGACTAGTGTGATGTAATGTAACTTCTATGGCCCTAGCCATTTCTTGGTCTTGATTAGTAAATATTATTTTTGGATGTTTATCATCCATTATTCGTACAAAATATTATAAACAATAAGGTAAATGATTCAATTGTCTCATTTGACAAGAAGGCCACCTCCAGCAGATTATTTTATCAATGATTATTAATCTCAATAAATAATGTGCAAACTAAATTTTACTCATCAAGTCTACAACTAGTATAAAAAAATCACACATATCTAAAGTAGTCATAATCTATGCTACCCATCCTATCAACTAAAAAAATAACAATCTATAGAATTCATCAAGTTGGACATCCCATACGAATATCTTGTCATCAACTTGACGATATTTAAATAATTAAATCAAAGTATTAGTGTTCTCAAATTCAATTTTTGCTCTTTTCTCTTTTTGAATAAAATTTTGTGTATCCCTCTTAGAGAATCGAATATTTTGGACATCTCCAACTTCATCTGTAAGATAGAAAAATACATCAATAGTTTTTATCCTGATTTCTGTCATTAATTTAAGAACTGAAGTTTCTCATCATACATATTCCTAAATGATCTAAAAAGATGAAGGTCTTTTGGCCTAGATAAATCACGATTGTCTTTTAATAAATTTTTTAACTTTTCAATTTTTAGCTACATCCATTGTAAACCTAATTATAGCTGGGCAACCCATTATGATGTCAGATTTTTTATATTTCATTTAATAATTTATATTAGGTATCTTATTAAAACCAAATTTTGAGCATACAAAGTTCTTGTATTTTATTTTTATGAAATTTGGTCAGTAACTGGATGATCATTGTGAACATTAAAATCAATATTATGGGCATAACTATAATAAACCTCATATGTCTCATTCTCATACACATCCTATAAAATACATAGTAAATATGCAGCAAATACGTAGTAGATATACAACAATTATAGAGTAAATACACAACATATACGTAATAAATACGCAACAGATAAAAAATAAATATGAAAAATACACAAGTAAACAACAAATATGTAACAATTACACAAAATATAATTGTAATATGCAGCAAATATGTAGAATATAAGCAATAATATGCAGGAAACACGCAGAAATCACACACCACTAATGTTTATACACAGAATATAAGCATTAATATCTCAACAAATATGGAGAATATGTATGGTAATATGCATTAAATATGCCGTAATTTTAAAACTGTGTATAACGACTACATTCTTATATATAGTAAGTCAAATTTGAAAGGAGTTTGAACTTTATCAATAAGTTGAAACCAATATTTCATGAACATAGCTTTCCCTCTAGTTGTAGTCCTTTTAACTTCAAGTCTTCAACTATTTTATTTCCTGGATGTCTACATACCAATTTTCGACGTCCGCATTCTGTCGGAATATCATCTGTTTTTAAAAAGCAACATCTTCCTCCAAATAAATCTTCATATTTATCAGCATTTTCTTTATTTTTTTTCAACATATATCAAAAAAATTTTAAAGTAAAAATTTTAAATATTTGAAATCTTTTACGATTGATTTTCTGAAAAAGAAACAACGACACTAAATTAAAATGGCTGGTGAAGATATTTTACCTTAAATTTTAAAACCAAAATAGAAAAAAATTCCACATTTACCGTCCGTCCGTTGGAGTAAGCGGAGCTTTGTCCGGAGTTCCACAGAACAATTCTTCCTTCGCCTTACGTAGTTGCAGGCTCCGGCTCCCTCCCACCACCTTCCTCTACCTCGCCTTTCTTATAATATATTATTAGTTATTTGTTATTGCTATTAATCCACTAAAAAAACCCTGCCTTTTTAGGCCAATTGCAGTTTCCTCTCACTCTCTTGTCCCTCTGGCTTCCGCTGGCTCCGGTGATCGCTAGGGTTTTGACATCAGTGACGGTGTGAGGAGCAGCGGAGCGGAGATGGCGGTGGTGCAAGGGCAGGGGATCGACTCGGCCCTTCTCGACGATATCATCAATCGGTTGCTTGAGGTGCGATCGTAGAAAAATACATCAATAGTTTTTATCCTGATTTCTGTCATTAATTTAAGAACTGAAGTTTCTCATCATACATCATCCTAAATGATCTAAAAAGACGAAGGTCTTTTAGCCTAGATAAATCACGATTGTCTTTTAATAAATTTTTTAACTTTTCAATTTTTAGCTTCATCCATTGTAAACCTAATTATAGCTGGGCAGCCCATTCTGATGTCAGATTTTTTATATTTCATTTAATAATTTATATTAGGTATCTTATTAAAACCAAATTTTGAGCATACAAAGTTCTTGCATTTTATTTTTATGAAATTTGGTCAGTAACTGGATGATCATTGTGAACATTAAAATCAACATTATGGGCATAACTATAATAAACCTCATATGTCTCATTCTCATTCTCATACACATCCTATAAAATACATAGTAAATATGCAGCAAATACGTAGTAGATATACAACAATTATAGATTAAATACAAAGTAAATACACAACATATACGTAATAAATACACAACAGATAAAAAATAAATATGAAACAAATACACAAGTAAACAACAAGTATGTAACAATTACACAAAATATAGTTGTAATATGCAGCAAATATGTAGAATATAAGCAATAATATGCAGGAACACGCAGAAATCACACACCACTAATATTTATACACAGAATATAAGCATTAATACGCAACAAATATAGAGAATATGTATAGTAATATGCATTAGAAATGCCGTAATTTTAAAACTGTGTATAACGACTACATTCTTATATACAGTAAGTCAAATTTGGAAGGAGTTTGAACTTTATCAATAAGTTGAAACCAATATTTCATAAACATAGCTTTCCCTCTAGTTGTAGTCTTTTTAACTTCAAGTCTTCAACTATTTTATTTCCTGGATGTCTACATACCCATTTTTAACATCCACATCCTGTCGGAATATCATCTGTTTTAAAAAAGCAACATCCTCCTCCAAATAAGTCTTCATATTTACCAGCATTTTCTCTATTTTGTTTCAACATATATAAAAAATTTTTAAAGTAAAAAATTTAAATATTTGAAAGCTTTTACGATTGATTTTCTGAAAAAGAAACAAAGACACTAAATTAAAATGGCTGGTGAAGATATCTTACCTTAAATTTAAAACCCTAAATAGAAATAAATATCCACATTTACGGTCCGTCCGTTGGAGTAAGCGGAGCTTTGTCCGGAGTTCCACAGAATAATTCTTTCTTCGCCTTACGTAGTTGCAGGCTCCGGCTCCCTCCGACCACCTTCCTCTACCTCGCCTTTCTTATATTATATTATTAGTTATTTGTTATTGCTAATAATCCACTAAAAAAACCCTGCCTTTTTAGGCTAATTGCAGTTTCCCCTCACTCTCTCGTCCATCTGGCTTCCGCTGGCTCCGGTGATCGCTAGGGTTTTGACATCAGTGACGGTGTGAGGAGCAGCGGAGAGGAGATGGCGGTGGTGCAAGGGCAGGGGATCGACCCGGTCCTTCTCGACGATATCATCAATCGGTTGCTTGAGGTGCGATCGGCGAGGCCCGGCAAGCAGGTGCAGCTTTCCGAGGCGGAGATCCGTCAGCTCTGCGTCGTCTCACGGGAGATCTTTCTCCAGCAGCCCAATCTCTTAGAGCTCGAAGCCCCCATCAAGATCTGCGGTTTGCTCTCCCTTTCTCATTCTTTTCTGTATTGAAAGTTTTAGCTATGCGATTTTCCTGTTGGAGATCCCGAGACTGAGAAGTTGTGCTTTTAGGATGGTAATTAGAACTATTCTAAATAAATGATATTTTTTAGAAAGGATGGTTGGTTTCATTGAGTAATTGTGCTTTTAGATGACGGAACGAGGTGCATCGGCTAATTACTTTTTTTTTTTTTTGGGGTCATCCTCCTGCATTTCTTTTGTTTTGGATGGGTCTGCGGAAAATGGTTAGCCCAAGGCAATTCGAATAGAAAATATTCAAAATTATTTCTGGAGAATAGAGTTATGGGCTTAGGGAGCATCTAATAGGTATGACTAAATACAAAATGGCGATTCTTAAAGCTATCAATGATTTTGTTGATGATGGGTATGAGGAAAAGTGTTCTCCTCATGCATAGTTATTGTTGCTGTTTCTTTTGGGGTGGAGCTAGTTAAAAATTAAAAATTAAATGTTAATTGTGGAGCTAGATAATTTTTTCTGCAGCCATAAAAATTAGAAGACCCTAAATAGTTGTCACAAGGTAATAAATGATGATGTCAATTATAGGTATAAGGAACAGTTTTCTCCACATGCTTATATATTATTGCTCTACTATTAGCGTGGGGCTAGTTGAAACAATTAAAATTTGAATGTCAATTGCAGAGCTTAAGAATTTTTTCTGTAGCCACTAATACCTTAGTTGAAAATGTTTAAAATTAGAAAGTACAATGAATGTGTGGAAAAAGTTAAAACTTTAGAAAGTATAAATTGAGAAATGAGCATTTTCGATTCTTAGATAATTGCCATTACCTATCCCAAGTTAGATGGGAAAGGTTCAATGCTGATGCTAGGTTGATATCCATTCTTTAAACTATGCCAAAATTAATGAAATGAATCCAAATTTAAATTTTGCTGGTATTAAGGCTTTCCACAAAATCAATTCATCAATGCCTATTCTAATTGTAATGAGAAAGAGGCAAGGGGGTTGTTGGGATTTCACCCCAAGTGATGTGACACAATTTACCCGATTATGGTGAAAATAAAGCTAGGGTTGGCTAGGATATCATCCTTAAGTGACGTGTTACAACTTGACTTGATTATGATACAAAGAAAACAAAGGCTATGTCTAAATCTAAGTTAGATTTGGAAGTTTGGACTTTGAATGGGAAAATGTATATGATATAAACTAAAGATAAGGTAATTACAAATAGGTTTAATTGGTTTATTCATAGTGAAGGGTAGAAAATGTATCATTGAAAGAGTTGATAAATTTTGTGTTAGAAAATTATGAATGAGGGTAGCTAGACTTAAGTTAATTTGGATAGAAATTATGTATAATATTTGCAAATAGTTTTTACACCTCCAACAACATTCAATAGGGATGAATGGAAAATGAGGATTCATAAAGTTGACTCAAATAGTTGGAATAAGATTAATGATGATGATGTATAATTGGTGGACACAATGATTAGAAGAAGAATACATATTATTTCTTTATAAGAAACGAAATTGAAAGTAGAAAAATCCAATGACAATGAAGAAGGTTATAAGTTATTATATGCTAAAATTGTTAATAATAGGAATGGGGCAAAGATAATAGTAGATAGAGAGTTGAAAGATAAATACTTTCAGGTAAACGGGGTTAGTGATTGCTATTAAGAAAGATAGCAAAAGATAAAGAGTTGAGAGATAAATTTTTTGAGGTAAATGAGATTATTTGTTTGGTGATTGCTATTAAGATAATTATTGATGAACCCATTATGAATGTAATCAGTGCTTACTCTTTAAGTTTTGATTGGAAGATAGTTTAAAAATTCAATTTTAGGAAGAGTTCGACAAATTATTACAACATATACTTGCTGAAGAAATGATGTTTAACAAAAATGATTTCAATGGGCAGATAGTTGCTAATAAGATGCTAAATGAGCAGAGGAGTGTGTTGATTCCTATTTTTAAGACTAAGAAGATGCTAAATGGGTAGAGAATGTGTTGATTCCTATTTTTAAGAATAAAGGTAATGCTCAAGAGTGTGAGAATTATAGAGGAATTAAGTTAATGTTTCATACTTGAAAACTATAGGAGCGAGTTATTGAGCATAGGTTATGACGTGATGCTAATGTTTCTCAAAATTAATTTGGATTCATGCCGGGTAGGTCCATTATGGAAGCTATACATTTATTGAGGTTTGATGGAAAAGTATAGAGAGAATAAGGAGGATCTACATATGATATTTATTGATTTAGAGAAAGCATTAGATAAAGTTCTAAGAGAAGTGCTCTGGAGAGTTCTAGAAAAGAAAGGAGTTAGTAATGCTTATATTCAAGTCATTAATGATATGTATGCAAGAGTTGTTACTTATTTTCAAACACAAGGTGGTTTGACCAAATACTTTCCTATTTCAGTTGGATTTCATCAAGGATTTGCTTTAAGCCCATATTTTTTTGCTTTAGTCCTGGATGTTTTTACTAGACATTTGCAAGAGGATGTACCTTGGTGCATGCTTTTTTGTTGATGACATTCTTCTTGTTGATAAGACTAGAGAGGGAGTTGAAGGTAAACTTGAATTATGGAGGTTAACCTTAGAGTCTGAAGGTTTTCGTTTGAGTAGGTCTAAAACCGAATACATGAAGTGTAATTTTAGTAGTAATATATCTATTGGGGGGATTGTGACTTTGGATAATCAAGTCATTAATAAGAGCAACGCTTTAGATATCTTGGGTCTATTGTTCAAAGTGATGGTGAAATAGATGGGGATATTACTAGTAGAATTCAAGTTGGATAGTTGAAGTGGAGGAATGCATTGGGCCTATTGTGTGATAGAAAAATGCCTCTCAAACTTAAGGGAAAATTATATGAGATGGTAGTGAGTCCTGTAATGCTTTATGACATAAAATGTTGGACATTAAAAGAGAAGCATAAAATTAAGTTAAGTATTGCAGAGATGAGAATGCTCAGGTGGATGAGTGGCTTCACTCTTAGAGATTGAATGAGAAATGAGTATATACGTGAAAGGTTAGAGTAGCTCCAGTTGCAGATAAGATTAGAGAGAGTCGCCTTAGATGGTTTGATCGCATAAAACGTCGGCTTCCAATGACCGGTTAGAAGAGTAGATATATAAGATTTGACCTATGTTAAGGAAGGTAGAGGTAGACTAAAAAGACTTGGTAGAAAGTATTAGAAATATTTTTTTTATTAGATTTAAATGAGAATTTGATTCTTAATTGGACACAATGGAGAAAAAAGATTCATGTAGTTGACCCCATGTAGTGGGATAAAGGCTTGATGTTGTTGTCTTCGTTGATAATATTGTGTTGTTTTGTGTGTTTTTTCTTTTAAGCTAATATTTTCAAGAATGTTTTAAACATCATTGTGGAAGATTTTGGCATTAGAATTAACTTCTCCAAATCCTCTATTATGATATACCTTGGTATGAGTGCCGTTCTTACTATTATTTTGGGATGTTATCTAAAAACTTTACCATTTAAGTACTTTGGTATCCCGTTGGGCTCTTAAAGCATCTAGCGTGTTCTTTGGCCTCTCATTGGAAATATTCAAATGAAGCTTTCTTTTTGGAAAGAAACTTGCTATTTAAAGTGGGCAAGCTTGTGCTTATCAACGGTGTTATCTTCTATTATTCTATACTTTTTTCTTTCTTTTGGATTCCTAATTGGGGCATTAAAAGATTTACTGTATTGGAAGGAATTTTTGTTGGAAAGGGGATGGGTCTAGTAGTGGTCTTCATCTCATCAACTAGAAGACTTTCTATAGACCAAAAGATAATGGAGTCCTTGGTATCAAAGACCTCCGTAGTATGAGTTCATCTTTCCTTGTTGAATGAATTTTGATGTCTTTACAAATGAACAATGATTCTTTTCTTGCTTCAATTATTTGTGAAAAGTATCTAGGAACTCAGTGCGCCCTTGGACTTTTTGTCCAGTAATGTCTCTCATTGCTCCAACTCTATTAAATGAGTTTTAAAGATTTTGATCCCTTTTGGTCAAACAACCCTTGGAAACTTCATGTGGTAGTAACTTTAATTTTTTGGAAGAATAGGTGAACTTCTTTTTGCCCACTGGCTATCCAATTCAGAGATCTTTATACTTATGCTAGTAATTATGATAGTTTGGCTGCTTCTATTCATACCAGTAGCTATGATTGGCACGGGCTTTAGAAAAGTATCACCCATTTTCATTTAAATGGTTATAATAAGCTTTGTTTATCTCTTACGTCATTTGATTCAATCTTGAACTTGATAATGACACCCCATATTTGCTTTCATCATCTATTGGTATATTTTTTGTCAGCTCATTTTACTCATTCTTGATTAATGGGGGTGTTCTTACACTTTTTCACTCTTTGATTTGAAATATATTTCTCCTTTCAAAACTAGAGTTCTTATTCGAATAAAATCCCTATTAAGGTCTCTTGTCTATTAAAAGGGATTGCCATCTTTGCTTTTTGTGATATGTGCATTGACAAACTAGAAGACTACTTACATTTCCTTTGGATGTGCTTCTATCTCAAATGCATGGAAAACTCCACAATCGCTTGGGCATCCTCTTACCTATTACTATCTTAAACATAATTTTTATTTCCTGGAAAAGTGAATTCATCAGAAAAGACTCCAGAGATCTATGGGACGCCTTCTTCTGTGATATGGAACAAAAGGAATACTGGATGCTTTAACAAGCAGAAGTGAAGTTCCTTTGGATCAATATAATCAGTCTTGCTTACTTGGATTAATGACACTAATGGCAAGAGGTTGGTCAAAATCAACAATTAGATGGAGGACAATCATATTGCTTCTAACCTCAAGGGCTGATCTCTTATACCTCTTAAATTTCTCTTTTCCTTTTTTTTTGGTGTTCTTCCTAATTTTCGTCTTTGTTATATAAATTTTATTTTTCATCAATGAGAAATGTTCACAAACTTCTCAGTTAAAAAAATAAAAAAAGAGTTCTAACCCTTTTTCCATGACTTTTGCATTAGCTCTGCCATTTGATTTGCTTTTGGTACAATTTCTAGGTGATATCCACGGCCAATACAGTGATCTTTTAAGGCTTTTTGAGTATGGAGGCTTTCCTCCCGAGGCCAATTATTTATTTTTAGGTGATTATGTGGACCGTGGAAAACAGAGCCTGGAAACCATATGCCTTCTTCTTGCTTATAAAATCAAATATCCAGAGAATTTTTTTCTTCTTAGAGGAAATCACGAATGTGCGTCCATAAATAGAATATATGGATTTTATGATGAATGTAAGCGCCGATTCAATGTGCGGCTATGGAGGGTTTTCACCGATTGCTTTAACTGCCTTCCTGTAGCTGCTCTCATAGATGACAAGATATTTTGTATGCATGGTGGCCTTTCTCCTGATTTATCGAACTTGGACCAGATTAAGAATATTACTCGTCCAACTGATGTGCCAGACACTGGTTTAATATGTGATCTACTCTGGTCAGACCCTGGTAGGGACATTCAAGGTTGGGGAATGAATGACAGAGGGGTTTCATACACTTTTGGTGCAGATAAAGTATCAGACTTTCTAATAAAACATGACTTGGATCTTGTTTGTCGTGCACATCAGGTTAGAGTCCTTTTATATATTTGTTTTTAGTTTTCATGTATTTTGATTTGTTATTTTCTTCTAAACTTCCAGGTCGTGGAGGAGGGATATGAATTTTTTGCTGATAGACAACTTGTGACAATATTTTCAGCCCCAAACTATTGTGGTGAATTTGATAATGCTGGTGCAATGATGAGTGTTGATGAAACTCTTATGTGCTCTTTTCAAATCCTAAAGCCTGCAGAGAAGAAATCAAAGTTCTTGATGCCAACAAAAATATGACAATCATCCATACTGCTATTATGTTTCTGCTTAAGGTTTGGCTAATTGACTGTAAAATTTTTGTTTTGTTATAATTCATTTATTATAGCCTGTTGTTTTACTTGAGAGTCTAGATGCGTAGTTATCATTCTCCCAGGTTTTAATAGAGATTCCTTTTATTTTTGTATTGATTGGTCATGGTATTGGGACATTTTTTAATTTTTAAACCTGATAGGCATCTTCTAGTTATTTGCTTTATAATTGAATCTCAGAATTCATGATACGCATGCATCAAGTGGCATAGTTTTTTTTGTGTGTGACCGGGTGCACACAAATAGGTAATAATAAAGCATTTGATACTGTGCAGACCCTTGATATTTTTCATTTGAGTTTGAGACTAGTAACAATGATTCTAAATGTTTATTTCATAAGATAAATAAAATGAAAATTATCGTGTCAATAAAATTACTAGTATTTAGACCTGAATGTTGCATTTGAAAGCAGTGCTTAATTACTTAATATCAGCAACATCAAATATTTAGCTGTTTGTACAGACTTTTATTAGCTTATTTTATGTGGATGGGTAGTGAATTTTATATGCATGGTTTCTGGAAAAAATCTCTTTCGGTCTGTTCAATAATGAAAAAAATTCTAAATATGATTCAACAAATTAGCTAAACCATATCTTCTTAAGCATATTTTTTCCTTTTTTTTTTAAATTAGAACTTTAGAAGTTCACATTTATTTTCCATATAGAAAAAAGAATACAAGGAGAAAAGATCAGCAATTTCATTTCTACATGTAAAACATAAGGGCTGATTGATGTAGAACTAAATGATGCAACAATGATCATTAAAGAGTTTGCACACTTCTTTGTTGAAAACAATAGTAAGAATTAACTTTAAGTGATTTGAACAATGAAATAAAATAAGAGTGGGGTGATTTCAGTTTAGACCAAGCTACACACATAAATTTAAGACTTCAAACAATCAATAGTTCAAACAAAGCATACGGAGAGGTTTTCAACAAGATATCCCTAGATTAACAATGAGTTTAATCACTATGAGAATCCACTCACTCAACTCTCTAAAATTACTAGGCTTTAGCGGAGGAACATTAACACTATCTTCATGAATCTAATAAGACCACAATTGAAAAACGACTAAGAAGATAGGTGGGTCGGAGGAAGAGTTTACCCAAAGAAAAATAGTTACTAAACTCCGGTGTGGTCGTTTGAAGGTTTGCGAAAGAGTGGGAGCAACGTCAGGGTTTGGAAACCTGGACGACAGTCGGAGGCCTTCTGGACAACGAGACAGCAGCAGGAAAGCTGTCGGGGTTGCTGGACAGCAACTAGGGGTGTCTGGACATTCACTATGAGAGCCTTGACAGCGGTTTTGGCTCTTGAGAAATGCTGGTTAGCAATTTCTAATGCTTATAAAAACCTTGGACGACTGCTAGATGATGCTGAGAACTTTAGGATAGCAGTTCAAGATTTCCAATAGTGTAGGACAACAGGATGATCCTGCTAATATGTGTGGACAGCAAGCCAGATGTTCCAAAACGAGAGGGAAACGGCAGTGATAGCTTGGGAGGGGCCGGCTGGATTTGGGAAAGGTTAGGGAGAGCTTGATTTGAGGGTTTAAGGAAGGATTTTAATTAGATAAGAGAGATGGAGGAGGGGCGGCATCCTTGATTGGAGTTGGGAAGTTAATTCCTTTGATGTGTACCCAAATTTGGAAAGCACTCAATTTGGGGAGAGGGGCATGGGACCGGCCAAGAGAGAGAGGGGGAGGATTGTATGTGGACCATGGAATTAATTTGTAATTGAGAATTAAATCTGAGATTTAATCTCAGATTTAAGATGGGGATTATTTCCTATAGGGATTGGGCTTAATTAGAAAACTTTTGAAATTCAAATTATTTTGAATTTAAATTCAAATTATTTCCTAAAATACAAGAGGCCAAATATGGAAGGTATTAATGGGGGATTTAATTTGGGATCCAAGGGGGATGATGGGGAGGCCGGCGGCTGAGTCTTGGGTTGGAGAGGACCTGCGATTAGGTGGTGGCGTGGGGGAGGGAGGCCGACGGGATTGTAGGGGCAAGAGAGGAAGGCTGACCGTGAGGTAGAAGAGGGAATGGGTAGGGGCTTTGCCGGCGGTGGAAGGGAAGGAATGAGGGGACAAGAGGGGAAGACAGAAAAACCAAGAGCTCACTGAAGGTGGTTGTTGGGTACTACGCTTGGCCTCTCCTAGGCTCCTTTTCCTAACTTTCTCTCAACCTCTCTCAAGAACACCAAGCAGAAATTTCAGTAATAATTCTTCATTAACCCTCAAAGAAGGAGGTGAAAGCTTTAAATAGCCAATACGAGTGACAAATGAAAGTACTAATATGCCCCTAGGGCTTACACATGTCTAAACCCTTAACTAATACATAATATAAATGAACATCTAAAGTAGAGCGGCGCGATCGAGGCCGTAGATCGACGACCACACCTCTGATAGACTTTCCAAGGCCGGATGTCCTCATCACTGATGCTTTACAAATAATTAAACTGCTAGAATAAAAATATAGAATAGATAACTTGTCTATTTGGTGAAATAATATAACAATCAGTTGTTTTTAATCTGTTAGTGATAGTAAGATTAGGCAAGGAAAACAGAATTATTATTAATATTAACGTGGATAAATGTCAGTAAAATTCCTGGGTTATAAACTCTGTTTGTTCATGTTTTTAAAACCCTCTATTTTGGTCGCATTTTTCTAATATATTAATTGGTCCTTGAGGTTAAAAGTCAGTACTCATGGAGGACTTTTTGGGCTAATGATGTAAAGTTTGTTGTTTATTTAGCACGCGTGACACATTTTTTGACTTAAATTTGAATGCAATTAAAATTTGTAACCGAAAAACCCTGATTATGGTCTCCTATTGGTTATTAAGTTGAAATGCAAACCTTCTGATACGCCTTAGGTTTCACAAATTAGGGTTTGCCCTAATTTTCCTTCAAGATGAAATTTCTCCTCCAAATCCAAGAAAAAATCAACACAAGAGGGATGAGAGGAAGAACAAGAACATTTGCATTCAAAATCCTAGAGAAACAAGATACAATTTGTCCACTTCGAGAAGGACAAGGTCTCCCACTACAAACCCTAGAAAAACAAGAGAAAGAAACTAAGGAGGCTAAGAGAAAACTCAAATCTTGCATAACCCTAGAAATCTCCCTCTATTCCTTACTTAAAGCAAGCCAAAAGACCAACAAAACCCACTAGTGGGCTGCCCAAAATGAACCGCCCAGCTCAGGGCAGACCCGAGCCAAACCGGTCCAGGATTGGACCGGTTCCGCTCAAGGCCGAACCGTCCCGCCGCTCCGTCGCGTCCCGCGCTCCCCTTCGGCTGGCCGACTGGCGCGGCATTCCCCCCCGCGGCTTTCGCTCGCCCGCGGGTGCCGTCCCTAGCTCTGCGACCGGGAGGCGGATCGCATCACCTTCATAGAGTTTTTTTGGCTTCTTACACTAGATTGATAGCTTAATTTTGTTTAAACTTGTGGGCTAGAGGTGGGCATGATTGTCATGCCACGTTTATCGAAAATCTTGTGACTTCCAAGCAAGCTTGTTGAATCTACATGATGTTAAAGCGTGGTAGTCTATGTTGCTAGCACCAGTTGCATCGGATTCGGCTATATTATTAAGAGTCTCTTAGGCATTCTGTTTAACACTACGGAAGTCTGCTATGAATTTTGCTTTCCAACATCTTGCATGGTGACAAAAGAATCTAGCCCGACTTAAAACCCTTGAAATTTTACACTCAAATTCCAACAAAAATAGCATAGGAGATGGAAAGACGAGACGACTTTCTTTGCTTTAAGATTTATCGCCTTAGGTTCTAAATGCCAACATTGTTGAAGTCAGTGTGATCACCATCCACAAACTTGGTACACATGATCGTGTTCTCTACTCAACATAGGTTCTTTGACATCCACTTGTTTGATCCATTTGTGTTGATAAGAATTATGTATTAGGCATTTAAGTGGAATGAATGCATGCTCTTCATTGAGTTATTCAGGATGATCTCTCTATCATGCAGATTTGCGTGGCTTGCATGGGCTCGACAATAGATTGATGGTAAATTGTCTTCAAACACCATCATCATCTTCATTGACAAAGGCGCCTATGATGAATATTATTTGCATTGGAAACATAAGAGTGAGGAAAGAGAGTGAAAAGTTTTATTATTTTCATTATTGTTCTCTTAATTAATGTTTTGTAAGTCATTCATGAAAAAATCTTATATGCCAGGGATCAAAATGAAGTGTTTTTAAAAACACAGGCCTAATATGAAGTGTGGATTATGACTTAGGGACCAGAGTTATCATTATCATTAGCATTATCTAAATTATTTGTGTTTGCTTTATAATTCTTTATTCTTCATTCAATTTTGTTGAGTGTTGTATAAGATGTTAAATATATTATTCGCAAATTAATATTATTTTGAACATCATCTATACAAAGTACCTAAAATTTATCCTTTCTCCTTAGTAATCCTTTTATACTAATTTTATGTATGGTCATCATCAACATTATCATTAGCTTTATCCCAGCTACTCTTCTAGAAATTCAAATTTTCCCTTTTTTTTAATATCTTCTAGAAATTCTACAATATTCTTCTTAATAAAACTAGCTTCCTATATACAGTTTGGCTCAACAAAGAATTATAATTTACCTCCCTTAGAAAATTATATTTGTAGATAAGCAATTTCTCATTTTTTTGTTATTTTCAAAACATCATCTTAAAGTAATAATTCTTTCTGATTATTTTTAGCCTGCTAGGATTTACATCCGTAACTACTGTTATATGTAGTGTGGTTCAAAACTCTCATGGTAAATCCTTGTAGTATATGCAAGAATAATTTATTTCCTTATGTCAAAAATTTATTTGTGATATTGGTGGCTCTACTTTTGTAAGGTACATTTTCACATTTCTTAAAGTATGTGTTTACCATTACAAGATCATAATCTGCTTCTGCAAAATAAAGAAAATCTTCTCCCTTTGCATTTC